CTCCCTTCCTCCTCCTCCCCTCTTCCTCCCCCTCCTCCTCCTCCTCCTCCTCCTCCATTCGTCGGGTTTCTTCGGCCCTTAGCCCCCTGGCAACCACCGCTGAGCGGTATAATGCTTTTGGGGCTCGCTCCGGTGGCTGTAAATATGTTCAGGCCGGGTGGGCTGTGGCTTGAGTTGCTCTACGTAACCCGCCGCGGGGGGAGTAAATATGCTCCTTTCCGCCTCATCTTATAGTTGCCTCTCCTGCCGCCTGCCTTGCTTCACCTTGACATTATTGTAGCACTGTTCTGCAGCTGTTTGCTATTCAAGTTAGAAAAGGAGCGCGCCTGCCCGCGGCCTGCGCACGTCGTCGGTCGTCGGCCGGCCGACCTCCTCCCTTCCCTTATTCTACGTCGGTGCATTTGCTTAACGGATAACATATTGTTTCATCGATGTCTCGTCCCAAACCCTCTACCACTGAGCGTATTGATCATGAGACTTTACTTCCTTTGGCATCTTACCCCGATTCTCAGAGGAAAGACTTCCGTAGCGCGTCCCCTTGGCACGTCCCGCGGTGCGTGCCCATGGCACGTCCCCTGGCACTTCGCCCGGCGCGTCCCTTGGGACGTTCCGCGGCGCGTCCTCTTGGCATGTTCCCTCTGTCGATTAGTTCTGGGGCAGCTACCATCTGTTCAGGCAGTTCGAACTTACGATCCAGATCAGTTCGGTGAGGGCTCGGATGCCAGGGATGACTCGATCCACAACGCTATATAGAGCACAATCGCGGCATGGCACATCGCAGTTCAGCACGGCCCACCACAGCACAGCCGTCGGCACTGTACATCAATATCGATACACTCAACTATGCACCTTGGCACGTTCCTTGGCGCGTTCCGTGGCGAGTCCACCTGGCACGTCGCGCGGCGCGTCCCCTGGCACGTCCCTCGGCATGTCCATTGGCACGTTCCGTAGCGCGTCCCCTTGGCACGCCCCGCGGTGCGTCCCCATGGCACGTCGCCTGGCGCGTCCTCCTGGCATGTTCCCTCTGTCGATTAGTTCTGGGGCAGCTACCATCTGCTCAGGCAGCTCGAACTTACGCTCCATATCAGTTCGGTGAGGGCTCGGATGCCAGGGATGACTCGATCCACAACGCTATATAGAGCACAGTCGCGGCATGGCACATCGCAGTTCAACACGGCGTAGCACAGCACAGCCCTCGGCACAGTACATCATCATCGATACGTTCAGCATTGCATGTGCTTGTCGCCCCATCAGGTGTCTTTGAAATGTTGCAGTGCCTTACATTTCTATATTCCTTTCCTGGTTCGTGGGTCGATCATGTTGGCTTTCTGGGGCCTTCCACGGGCCTCAGGACTGTCAGAACACGACTCAGGATGGAGAACTAGTCCAGGGGGACGGCCTCGGGCGGGGTCCAGAGCAGGACCCGTTTGATCAACGGGAACCGGTGCGGGCGGCGGTGTATGTTGCTCCTCTCTTTACAGCGCCGAGGAACGCACAATCTTGTGCAGCACATGTTTACGAGGTCGGGATGTAATTCTTAAAAGAGTCCCTGGGGCCCGCTGGAATTGTGGCTGGCATCCGATTTCTCTTCTCTTCAAGTCAGAGCGTCATTTCTGATGTTGAGGACGGAGGGGTGGAAACAAAAATGACTAGCATGGGGGGCGGATGCGGAGGGAGCATCAAGGAGGATGATTTAAAAGACAAGAGGGGACATGATGACAAAGAGGAGGAGGTGGAAGCGGAAAGAGGGAAGAGGGGGAGGGAAGTTGGAGGAGCAGCAGCAGAAGCAATCCCAGGATGGATGCATCGACGATGCTGCAATACCCTGCCCGTCCAACACGCCTCTCCATGAGTAGCTATACGCACGTTCGCTTCGGTACGGGAAGTGCGCCCTTGAAACACAAGCGGTCCGTGGGTTTACCGTTCATTCGAGAGCCGCCTTCCAGTCTTCTCGCCGAAACGATCAGAAAGTTACGGGCCGTGTCCAGCGATAGCTCCATTTTCAAAAAGACACCGCCCTCCACCCGTGTAATTGTTGGGCGTGATCATAGATTTGAAGAGGAATCCAAGCGAGAGCCTCATTCCTAAAAAGAGCCGCTTTCCATCCGTGCAACTGTCACAATATTTTGGAGGTCTATGAAAGACTTGTCTGTAAGGGTTCGATGTACTTGTTCTTAGAAGCTGATTCCGAATCAGTGTTTGCACTGAATGGGGTCCTAACGGATGTTGAAAGTTCGGCGAAAGTTCTGGGCCGATTTCGGTGACCCGCTGGGTTCCCGGTTCAGGGTTCTTGGGTTCCCGGTTGCTGCTTCCGGGTCGATTTCGGTGGGCGTCGGGGTTTTGGGGTTCCCGGGTTCCCGCTCGATCTCCCTATCGATTTTGTATTCGATACCACGATCGAGCTCATTATCGACCTCATGTTCGATCTCTTTATTTATCTCACTCAATCGATTTCATTATCGATCTTCAAATCAATATCACTATCGATTTCACGATCGGTCTCACTATCATCCTCACTAGCGAAACCTCTATCGATCTCTCTATCGATCTCAGCATCGACCGCACTATCGATTTCACTATCGATCACAATCGACCTCCCTAAAGACGATCGATATCACTATCGTTCTCTATCGTTTTTATTCAATCTATTTCACGATCGATCCCACCATCTACTATTGTTCTCACTATCTATCTCACAATCGATTTCATGATCAAGCTCACGATCGAACTCAGTTATCATCACACCATCGATCTCACCATCGATCTCACTATTGCTCTCACTATCGATATCACTATCCAACCACGGGACACCACGGGCCGATTTCGGAATACAGAACTACATTTATATATGCACACGTGAAGAATCCATATGTACATATGTGTACGCATACTTCCCCGATCAGTGCTTGCACTGAAGGGGTCCTAGCAGATATTCCCCAATCAGTGCTTGCACTGAAGGGGTCCTAGCGGACATTGGAAGATTTGGCGAAAGTTCCGATGTCGGTAGGCGGCCGGGTTTGGGGGTTTCCGGTTCCGGGTTCTTAGGCTCCCGTTTCCAGGTTCCAGGCCGATTTCGGTGGGCGGCGGGGTTCCCCGTTTCCCCAGGTTTTTGGTGGATTTTTTATCGATCGGTCTCACCATCCATCTCATTACCCACCTCGCTATCGATTTCTCCATCATCACAATCGATGCCACTATCGATCTCACTATAGATTTCATTGAACCGACTTCACAATCGGTCTCACGATCGACCATACAACCGTCCTCACTATCGATTCCACGATCGATCGCACTATCGATCTCACAACGGATCTCAATATCCATATCACAAATTTTCAAACCATCCATTGATTGGGGTTGTCCTCTGGTGTAATTTGAAGCCTGACATATGCACATGCGACCATGGAGCACACAGTCAAGCTAATGAAAGCACTTCCCCAATCAATGCTTGTACTGAAGGGGTCCCAGCGGATGTTGAAACATGTGGCGGAAGTTCTGGGCCAATTTCGGCAGGCGGCCAGGTTCCCGGGTTCCCGGTTCCCGGTATCCCAGTTGTTGGTTCTGGGCCGATTTCGGTGGGTTGCGGGATTCCCGGGTTTCCGGTTTCTTCGTCGATTTCTTTATCGATTTCTTCATCGATCTCACAATCGAATTCATTGTCGATCTCATGATCGGCATCATTATCCATCACATTCGATCGATTTCACTATCGATCTCATTGTCGATGGTAAAGAAGTAGACATTGCCCACCCCAGCCCACCACGGCGACTTAACAACATGGGGTCCCCCGCGCTTTGGCCCGTCAGCCCAACACACCCCAGCCCAGCACGGCGACTTGTCTTTACCAGGCTAATTCGGCCCACCCCAGCCCAGCACGGCGACTTAACAAAATAGGGCCCCCTTGGCATTAGTCGACCAACGCAGCACACCCCAGCCCAGCACGGCGACTGCACAAAATGGGGTCCTCTTGGCTTTAATTGACCAGCCCAGCCCACCCTAGTCCAGCACAATGTTTTAACGCAGCGGAGGAGGATTAGGAACAGGATTATCATCATGGGGAGGAGGAAAGGAGGAGAAGGAGGAGGAGGAAGAAGAAGGAGAAGGAAGGAAAATATGGTAGTTGACGAGGTAAGAGGAGAAAGGAAGCGCAGATCACCCTCAGATGAGAGGCCGGCCAAACGTCAAACGCCGCCCACCGGGCCCAAGCTGGCTAATCAACGAAATGGGGTACCTGGGGCTTTAGCTGGCCAGCCTTGCCCACCCCAGCCAAGCACGGCAACTTAACAAAATTGGGTACCCTTGGCGTTAGCCGATCAACCCGGCCCACCTCAGCTCAGCACGGCGGTTTAACAAAATGGAACCCCCTTGGCTTTCACAGAACAGCCCAGCCCACCCCGGTTTAGCACAGCGTTATAACACATTGGAGGACGTTGAGGAGGAGAAGCAGGGCCGTATTGGGCCATCGACGGGCCCTCTGAAGTCATCTACTTAATCCGAAGGCCTCTTCGGCCGTTTCAAACCGACGCATGCCCGATAACGCGAGAATGCCACAACATTTTTGAATGCTGAAAACATGATGTTGGGCCTTTTTGAGCCCTACGGCGAAACTGCGGCCAGACATGGTGCCTGCCAAATTTTCAAACCATCCACTGATTGGGTTTTTTTCCTCCAGTGTATTATGCTGGTTGCCAGATCCAGAATCGGTGGGGCGACGTGACCTCCCGTGGCCCCGTGTTACCTCCCAATGCTTCGCGGCTCTCCGTAGCCTCCCGTGACTTCCGCTCAGTTCTTGGTATTAGTTGCCTATCATGCCCTCCCGCTGCCGCACATGACTTCTAATTACCTGCCGGTATTAGTTTGCGTCCGGTATTAGTTATCTACATGATTTCTAATTACTTGCCTTGAGATTTTACCGACATACAAGTCGACAAAATACTTGGGGCGGAAGTTCCAATCCAGCGATTTCCATGTAACGGAACTCGAGAACAGGATCTCTGCAG